CATTCGAATTGACACCTCTAGTGTCGAGATATAATTTATTAATCTAGTCACGATGATACGAAGATCTAGTGTGATGTAATCTAGTGTAAAAGTAATCTGTGTTTTTAGTTTGCGAATTGTTATACTTTATGTGGAATAATCGCATACAAAAATGCACTACAAAAAACTGAAATTTTTTGGAATGTGATTGTAATTATATTTATTTAGAATTCCGCTCAAAAATATCAGTCAGAACAATAATATTAATTTCATTAAGATACTGAAGGTGTATTGTACTATTTAAATTAATTTCAATAATTACTGTACAAATAAATATTTCTGCCGCGAAGCAGTAATGCGTTTCGGTTTGAAGGGTGGGGCAGCCGTTGTAACTATACTGAGACCATCACCAATAATCCTTCAATCATAAAATAGTACTGAGAGTGCAAGAAACGGTCAGCATAACATACTTGAGATACCGCACTCGTGTCCCAAGGTGAGTGGTGACATTCAAGTCATTGCTACCTTACGCTAGCTCACGGCCTAGGTCAGAGGGGGCGCCTAGGTCAGACCTAGGTTAGGGGCAGAGTGTTTGCTAGACCATAGAGGAGGTTTGGAACATTAAAGCTTAGACTGCGATACTCTCAGGAGTTTGTACCTACTACTCCCTGTTCTATGAGATGTGCTGAAAGCAATTATCAGATGATTACTTACATGACTTTTATTCTACAATGAACACCACGGCACCACAAGTCCGAACCGAAAGTCCGACTGTGAAATGAATTCCACTCCACTGTTTTCACTGAGACTAGAAATGAACCTCAACCGGTGGGCAGCGCTTTATTCGTGTCTCAGGCGTTTCTGTTCCTCATAAGCATTGGTGACCGCTCACTAATAAAAAGAGCAGAATAGTGGGCTGCGTGAAGATCTATCTTCGATTCTAACAACTTAGATCATTAAAAACAGATACATAAAGTGCATTCTCGTAATACTGGTGGTAGGACGTCTTGTGAGTCCACACGGGTAGGTACCACCACCCTGCCTATTTCTGCCGTGAAGCAGTAATGCGGTTCGGCTTACCGATTTTCGGTTACCGGTAACCGCTTAACACCAGGTGGGCTGTGAGCTCGTCCACGCATCAAAGCAATAAAAAAAAAGAATAATACACAAATATACGGCCCTCTGTTATAAACTATATAACTAACAGATCAAATAACCTAAATTCACACAACCACTTCAAAAGCAACCGATGTTTTTTTTTTTCTAAACACTCGTATTATCTCTCTGTGGTCCGTTAAGAACGTGCGAATGAACCCGAAATTGTAAAATGCTAATCTCGATCTATCGAGAGGGTGCCATCTTTGGCCGGGCGGTTTTTGTACCAAAGAACTATTAGTTTTCAATATTTGATTAAGGCTATCGGTATGTTTACAGTAATTTAATGCGATGCACAGTATAAGGGATCGTATCCACGACGAATAAATAATATTGTGTAATAAAAAGACAAACCAGCTATAATTATAAGGCCTCATGTCTCAAGACGGCGGCGTTCGCGTTATGATATCCGTGGGCTCCGGTAATCGCTAATACCAGACGGGCCGTGAGCTCGTTGACACATCTATTCAATAAATGAATCAGACGAATCATCAAGTTCATTTTATATGTCCTTAACGTCTGAATAAATTATCATTCGTCACAGTTAAAGAAAAAAAACCGAAAGGCAAAAAAGGTATAAATAAAAATTCCCGTAGGTGTGAGCTCTTATGGCATAGATATAAATTTATGTACACTCTCAGATTAGTTAATGATTTATAATCGCTTAAATAGCTATTTACTTCTTTGCAATTTCGAATGCTCTCTTCCATGAATAAAATCTATTTTTATTAGACCTATTTAGAACAAAACTTCTTTAAACGAATTGTATTTCAAGTGACCCAATTTTACATTTGATACACACGATTTTAATAATATTTCGACATTCGGTATCAATATACCTATTTAAATCCTTTTAGCGTATTTCTGAAGCGTCGCCGTCACTAAAACTTCATCCTAATTTGCTATTGTCACGTTGAGAAGTGTTTTATGAGTTGGCATAAGTCGGGCCGCGAGCCCTCTGTCACAGACGGACGGACGGACTAAAACGCGCTTATTGTCAGTCTCCGTGGCTAACTCGTGAAATCGGCTTGCAGTGGGGTCCGCAGACTACAGGAAACGCACGAAGCGACAACGCGTCTACAAAATTTTTAAATCATCAATTATCGAATTTGTTAAGAACATATTACGTTTGAAGCTTCCTTAAAATTAAACGCCCTATATAAATAGCTTATCAAATTACTATGCCCTGGGTCGATCTTCGGGTAGGTACTAGTTTAAGGAAGAACTATTTGATGTGGGCCCACACGGGCTTGTATGACTGTCTTGCCTATTTTTGCCGCGAAACAGTCCTGCGTTCCGATTTTAATATTAGGATTAGATTTGGGAGATAAATTTGAGACTTCGATAATTTTACACACGACAATAATATTTATTTAACAATAAAAAAACACGATATAACTCCACAACAGTTCCTGTAGAGAATATGAATGTTCTTATTTTAAATGTGGCGCGAATTTCTACGGAAACCGATGATTTTACGACGGCTCGTCCGCATTGTCCGCTCACGCAGCGCTCGTCACTAAACGGGACAAATGAAATGTATGGCTAATTTGAATTTGAAAATCGAACGTATGTAGTGACTCGTGACAAATATTTAAATATTTTTAAACTAAAAGCGCACAAGATTACTTACACGGTGGGATATGTTTTTGTAATTTTTTTTTTGGAGTTTACTCCTTTAGAATCGATTTACATATATAGGCCCGGGGTATGAAAATTATGGGGACCAAAATCGTACTAGCATGTCACACGAAATGCGTTATGCGCCTGATTGCGCATGTCACACGAAATGCGTTATCGCAGGTGACGCCGGGCTGCTGCGCCGGCAGTCCGCCACAAAGCCTCGTACTGATCGCGCGTTTCTCTCATTATTGTATTTTCATATATTTGTTAGTCGTTTGTTTTGTGTCTCGTTAATTTGTTAATAATCTGTAGTGTATCGTGTTGTCGTAATATAGAACTATTTCTCGTATTGTTTCGTTTAATTTTTTATATCCAGTAAACTCCAGTCGTGCGTCGGAGCGGACACACACACTTTTTTGTTTTTTTTTTTTTTATATTTATTTGTATTTTTATTGATAAATTGATATATTATAGTAATCATAGGACAAAGTATGAAAAATCTCATTTAATAATTAAAGTTATGGTTGTATTATTTTGAATAAAAAAAAAGAATAAAACAATATTTTGTTTTATTCTTTTTATTTCTTAGAATAAAACAATATTTTGTTTTATTCTTTTTAGTGACAGGTGGATTAGCATAGCAACAGCGTGTAAAGGAACACATCGTCGAATTCAAAGAGTTTGTATAGTAATTCAGACAGACACATCCTGGCCATTGTCGGTTTTCAACTGCACTTTTGTTATGTAAAACAGTTATCATCTTTAATCGCATTGTGAACGATCAAGCGTCTAATTTTATCGTGTTTTTTTGCCGACACGTGCTAGGAAGACTTATGGACAAGATAGGGGTTGTTTTAACAACTATATTAGTAGTAATGGGGCGGGTAATATGATTTATGGAGTGTCTCATTCAGCTATTTGCTTGGGGGTTGCGTTTTATTGATGACACACGTTTCGTTACAAAAGGAACATTTGTTGGAACAGTTTACATAAACTTTTTAAAAACTATAACATTCATGCGTTGTGTATTGTGGATTTTTTTATTGGAACAACTGAATTCTTCATCTGTTTCTAAGTAGTACTAGCGTACTCACCCGCTTCGCTGGGCATTTAAAATTAACATAATTTATTGTCATTATTATTAGGGAGTCCAATAATCATATTAATATTAGCCTGTCCATTAAGTGCCTGTATGTTCTACATGGGTACTAAGTTTCAATTCAATCGGATGCATTGTTCAGTAGTTATAACGGAACATCCGTAAAAACCGCTGTAGATTTATATATTAGTATAGATTATATCTATGAATGTTCCATAGCCAGAGAGTATGTTGCCTATGACGACATAAAAAAAATATATGTAAAAATGTAATTTATAATCATAAACAACTATTATAACATTCGAAACGAACAGATACCTACGTCCAACGTACCGCTCTATACAACTTTAAAGCGTGATTGAATAATTCAAATAAATTGAAGACACAAGAATTGAAGTCTTCAAATACAAAAATCTTCGAGCAAATAAAGGAAAACCGTTCATAAAAATGAAGACGCGTGCTTTATGTCTGTTTCCGCTCTTTACAAAGAGCTTCCGTTTGTCTCTTGTCTTGGAACATCTCTGAATGCATCCTCGAGTTATCCGAATCACTATACGAACGAGGATTTATGCAGATTTTTGCAAATGAATCGTCCGTCATGTCACCTGTCTTTGACGCACTGATAAAGCATTTGGATGAATTAAAAAGTTTTTGGCTTCTCAAATTTTAAATTAATGGCTGTATTTTCATTATAATCTACTCATAATAATTACCAGGGATAAGTCATACACGGTCACCTGGCCCCAAACTAGGATCCATGGGAATCAAAGACCGATAGAAGTCTTATTGTAAGCCCACACGGGTGGGTACCACCATCACCACTCTACCCTGTTTCTGCTGCGAAGCATTACTGCGTTCCGGTTTTTAAAAGTTGAGATACCCGATATACGTTTTAGACCTTATAACTGAAGGCGGGTGGCTGCATCCACTTAACAGATGCGTTGTAAGTTCGTAAACTCAAATATGAATTGAATCAATAAATTAATTGCAGTGTGTTATTGAAGAAATAAAAATAAAGATAAATGATAATATCCCTATTAATATTAAAGCCAGTATAATCATTAATATGAACATATTATTATACACGACTAATATATGTTGCTTTAATGTCCGAAAGCGTAATGGATTTCTTTTTTGTTCACAGCAGGAGATAGCCAGGAGTCTGGCAGCCCACCGCCGAGCCCGACTGACTCAGTCACATCGGAGTCCGCGCCCACCCTAGTTCACATTAAACAAGAGAACATGGCGCCAGGAGCCGACATGAAAGATTACTACGCGACTCTGGACTTTGGTCTACCCGAAACATACTTGTCCAATTTCCCCGACTACGCCAGGCCCTACTTGCCGAGGCCTCTCGATTTACCCGATCAAAAGTTCGTAGATGTGAAAAACGAAAATGACGACACAAAAGATGATGACGTAGGCGATCCAGAACTGAACCTGCCCATAGAATTAGTGTTGAAAAACGATGGAGTGTACGCGCGCGCTAATATTGCTGTCGGAACAAAATACGGACCTTTTATAGGCAAATGGGAGACTCAGCCGTTGGACCGGAGATACGCCTGGGAGGTGAGTCCGTTCTAAGAAATTAAACGACAAAAACATTCACTGATCAACATTATTATTGTCATATCATGTTGCGATAAAATAAATGCAGAAGCATCAATTGCAATAACAGGTATAAGTGATAATAAAAGCAATTCATTGTAAGTTTCATAGAGTAATAAATACAAAAACAAATATTGAGATAAAAATAAGTTGTTTTCGGATACAAAGTACCACGTCTATAGTTTGAAGTGTGGTAAAGAAAGTGTTGATTTTTACTAAATTCATTAACACCATAATTAGTTGATGACAAAGGCTGTTTCTGTTTGTCTACTCATGAAAAGGCCACTTGTTCAGGATGTATAGCCACCAATATTATATATACATTTGTCACCCTCACTTGCGTTGCTGCTTTCTTAAGTGAGAGCAAGATAGATATTCAAGTGTACAAATGTTTGTCTAATAAATTACACCCTCAAAGTGAACGTCAAGTTGATGCAATAAACTTAACAGTTTATTGTTTTTCTACCAGTCAACGTGCTACTCTTATCTTGTGAAGTACCTGCTTTTTGGTTCGAATTACTATACCTCATTATCGTTCATTCATTTGTTTGGTTTGAAACTAAAGTGTAGTTTTTTGTAAAGCTATGTTGACGTAATGCTCAACTCAATTGAAGTTAATTTAAATCCGGATAAATATCTTTGTAAGCTAACTATGAATCTATCAGTCATTTTGTGTAGCTATACAGTTTTTTAGTATGGTACATTTTCTGTAATCAAATAGTAACCCTATGGATTAATAGTATTTAGATAAACAGTTAAGAACTGGAAAATTTTCATAAATTAACGATCGGACAATGCGTTTTTTTTGTCTCATAAACGTTTACAATTAGGTAGAGTTCATAAACAGCGAAGATGCCTTATAGCTACTTCGCAATTCTGGTAGTGGGCGTGACCGCAGTTATCTGTTTTTTCTGAAGGAAACGGAAATCAATTGTGAGCCTTCTTGGATATTGCGATCGAAAGTATCGAGTTACTTGCGAATTTTTGATATAAAACATTTTTTTAAAGGTATATTCAACAAAATTTAAAACAGAAAATTCAACATGCACAAATTTGGTTCACAACAATTTTATGTATTGGAATTATGTATTTTTTTAAAGTAAATAAAATGAGTATGTTATCTTATAGTCCGTCCCGTAAAAATAATTCTTGAATTCTTGAATTAGTTGAGAAACCCAAAGAACCCTTTTGTCAGGTAGACAAAACAAGAAAAAGTTAGTTACCAATGTGTTTTGGGACTTAAATTTTTAAATTATTAAATAAAATTTTGTCCATAACCTAATGATTTAAGAACTTTATTGTTCGCTCAATTCACAATTCACAAATTAACAACAACACAATTCAAACGTATTGAATTCACATAAACACGACAATAGACCGGACGTAGGTCGGACATAGCTATAGCTATAGTAATCCAGAGATGCGCAAACGCTCATCAAATGTCAGTCTCACGAGAAAGATATTTGCAGCGATTTGTGTACAGTCCACATGATTTTAAATTATTTATTCGAGACTTTTCTAACAAATTTGGTGCTCTAGGGCTTTCAAACCTTATTCGTAGTTTGGCTGTGTTTTTGGAAATAAACAAATATTCCCACAATACATATTGTGTTAAAGGGTTTAAGGGTTTGCGTGGATCCCTAAACGCAGGTCCTACCAACTACTTCGAGGCATAACATCGAAGTTTACCTTGGTCATATGATAATAAAGAGCCAAAATATTTTAACAACTAAAAAAAAATGATCGAGTCTATTAACACAATTTTCATTCAGCTTAGTTGAGGCGAATGCACAGAAACTATTTTCTTTCGTAAATAGCTTAATATTAGTATTATTAAATTGCATACAAGATGAATAAAAAATATTGAATTTGAACTATTAAATCTCATATGGTCACATTATAGGTGTTATGTTACAATCAAACCACACCATTATGCCTGTCGGGCGGACATTTAGTTCCGGCGATTCACAAACTGTGAGTTTATTGACAGTTATTGTTACAATTGAACGATGTTATTAAAAAAGGTATCTTCGATACCCTTATCATGTTTTTCGGAGATATAAATCACAGAGAAACAAGAAATCGACATGTATTATTTACTAAGTATATAGTAGGTACTTGAGTATACATATTGCAATTCAAGAAAAAAAAAAAACATTAAGATTAAGCACTCCTAAATGTTTGTCATTTTATTTGTAGATTACCTTTGCCGTTGGAACCATTTTTATGTATAAAACGAAAACAATTATTAAATCGGTTTTATTAAATCATTTGGCATATATAAAAGTATATACTTTATTTCGATATTTCAGTTATTCGGACATCAAATTATTTGACGCAGTTTTCTTGATCTCGTACTTGTACGTGATATAACAGTAACAGTGGCAATTGTGGTAACATCATTAGGAGATGCGAACAATCGCATGCTGACCACGCTTCCGTTTCGTTGGCCACAAAAGATCTTTTCAAGCCGCCGTGCCCATTGGAGCAGCTTTTGTTAAATGATGTAAAACGCGACGGATATAACGACTGTTTTCAGATTACGTGCAAATTAAACACTAATAGTGATTTGTTAAATCGTTTTCGTTACATATTCGGTTGAAAATTTGAGGTATTCTTTTAATAAGTGAACATATCTTCATGATGACAAAAGTATTCGGTGAAGTATGGAAAGGGTTTTACTTAATTCGATAAGTTCTCATGTGTACGTAAACTCAAAGGGTTCTATTGTGTTTCGTAACATTATCTAACCACCGTTTCCCGAAATGTCGATATCTCAATAAAAATCTTTAGAAACTGCAAGGATCCGGGTAATCAGAGAATTCTTTATGTGCACATCCCGAATGTCAAAGTGCAATAAAAGGTTGCGTATGACTAAACCCTAATTTTGGTTTTGGCGTGACCCCCGTCAACGTCTTTTTTTTTAACAATTTACACTTTTTTCATCCAAATAAACGTAGGTAACGGTAAAGATGTCACAGTGCTCACATTTTAAAATGAAAAGTTGATAGGCTAGTTTTTTTTTATATTCACGAAATCTCCCGGAATCGCTTCCCTTTGAATTTTGTTATTTTTGATAATAAAACTTATTTTTGTTCAATTGCCACTCGAATTGATGGGCAAATATTTTTCTCACAGATATTAAGATCCACAGATAAAGTATACCGTTGCTACTGCAATAAAGATTGCCGGTTTGATTGATTTAAATAAACCGTAATTAATTCTTCGGATGTAGATGCTTTAATAACAGAGAATCCATTTTGAATATAACTTAAGATAACTAGTTTCATGTTGGCATAGCGAAGGGATCGTCTCATGACAAAACGTCAATCATGTTATGAATTTTTATCATTATTTTGATTCTCCTGCCAATGTGAAAAATAATTCTCTAATTTTAATTGCGTTGGCTAAAAATTTGCATATTATCGATAGTTCGACCGGGAATCTACAAAGGGAAGCCGGCTATGAAATATTCATTCGGTTGATTTTCCAATGAGAAGCGTTCGTGCATGAATAATATTGTTTATTTAATGGTTACATCGGTTTGATAATTGAATTATTAATTTGGACATGCTATTTTCATAGTGCAATATCCGTTTGGATGTTTTTTTAAGTGTTTCGACTGTGCTGAAATGTTCTTCGTGTATAAAAGCTCACATAAAAATGTGTTTTCGTTTTCAAAGATGTATTATAATTTTAAAATTTTTTGGTCTAATAAATACAAACTATTTTATTAAAACCATATAAAATGCTTATGATATCGTAGTTTTGAGATTTATGATCAAAGTAGAATTGTCTTTATTAGTATATTTGCTCCGACTATTGTTCTAGGAGTGAAGTTATTATTTCTGAAAACGAAAATACTTGTGCAACTTGTTCATACTTAATGTTAACGTAATAAGTGTCATTATTGGAAGAGACGAGTGCCATCACCGACGTCTTTTTGGTTATCGTCTCATTGATTCAAACATCGTGCGAAAGTAAAAATCGTAACTAAGAGCCGTCGCATTATATCTTATCTTATACCTTTAAAAGAGCAATTCTTGTATATTAATATATATATATAATCTGAATCTCGGAAACGGCTCCAACGATTTTCATAAAATTTTAGTATTCAGGGGATTTCGGGGGCGATAAATCGATCTAACTACGATTTATTTTCAGAAAATGTTGTTTTATTCGTGTTTTCAATAATCAACTCTTCCCGACCATCTATTGGCGAACAATATCATCTAGTGTTTGATTAAGAAACAAATTAATTTAAAATTTTTATGTATCAACAATGACAAAGATGTTCATTATTATGACTACATCAAGGCAAAATATGCATATTTAATAAAATAAAATTTAAAAATACTGCTGTTGTACCTATTAATTTTAAAATACCCGTAATACACTGTTTTTTTTGATTCATATCCATCACTGCCACGTCGTGAGGATTTGAATAAAAATCATCGAATTATAATTTTGAAAACGCTAATTTGCAGCTAATACGTCACAGAACAATCCGCTGCATTACTGTCAAAATATCCGTCATATTCGCGTGACATCCTTTCATTTATGGTCACCCCCTTCGGTTGAGGATTACTGATGTGCCGTATTACATCTTCATTTCGGTAGGCGTCTGGTCACCCCACGCTTACTGCTTTGTCACAAAAAAATGTTATTGTTATTTTGTTTATTGCCACCGTTGATAATATTTACACGATTCGCGTATGATCTCTGCTGACAAAGAGAACGCAGATGTTATAATATTCGTTGAAAGGTAGTTGATGTGAGCGGATCTATCGGTTATTTTGTGAATTATTATCGTTTTAGTTCACATTTAAATATTTTAATAATTCATTCTAGTATCTATATTTAGATTCTGTAATCGATGGCAATATCCTACTTAGTGTCGGGATTTCCGATTTCCGTCGAATATTGAAAAAATTATAACAATACGTATATCCTAATTTCAA